TTATAATCGAATGCTGGATCAACACACAAGTGGACATAACTATTAACTACACAGTAAACAACATTGTATTTTGTTTCTAAGTCAAAGCAATAAAAACCAATTATTGTAAATGATAATACAGAAAATTCGATGATAAAATGGTTACGATAATAAAATTAATAGCCTGCTGTCTGTGGTTACAACTTACAACTCGATATCCGGAGTTTCAACAGAGGTTGCCTATGAAGAGCTCCTAACATAAAATTTTAAATGATTTCAGATAGTTAAGTTATCAATTTCTTAAATAAATAAATTCTTTTAATTTTTTAAGGAACTAAAAATTATAATTAAATTATAGTATAAAATTAAGACAATTCAATAGATATGAGTATTTTTTATTTTTAATGAAGAAAATAAAATTTAAAATTATTAGGTACCTATATAATAAACAAATTTAAAATCATTATAATTTGTATTTAAATAAATAAAAAAACAATTAAGTAATTTATAATTTATATTAACAAACACTTTTAATTAAATTAAATTTATTAGATAAGAATATTAAATAGTTCAAACAAAATACAGTTTCCAATTTGTATATTATCAATGGTGAAATACTAAAATAACAAATTGCAATAATAAATTTAGGTAGGTACCTAATTATAAATAAACTATTTTAAGTTTTCATTTTTTAATGCATGAAAATTGATAGAGGTGTTATTTAAAAGCTTTAAATAAGCATTTATTATAACATGAAGTAACTTATCAATGAATTTTGATTTACCTACATGTTTTGTTAGTCATAGCAATGTTCTACTAAACTATTTCAATAAGTTTTACCATTTTTCTTCTTATGTTGTATTATCTGTATTATAATTTCAAATAATAATTTTTAAATATTTGAATCAAATAATGATGTCATTTTTTCACTAAAATCAAAAGTTAAATTGTGTAGATATTACATGTTCAAGTTTTTATAACCTATGGTATTTTTAAAAATATTATCTTAATTAAAAACTACTGAATAATTTTTACTTTTTTTTGTGCAATTTAAATGTTCTAAATGATTGCATATCTATGCCATTGTAGAAGAATAAAATTATACTTATTTATAAATTATAAGAAAACTATGTTTATTAGTTTATGATGAAAGATTTTCATTAAAATATTCATGTAAATTTAATATTTTTTTTTTGTTATTAGTCATTTATTTTCATTTTTAAATTTAACATGTATAGGTACTTCATTTTTATTAGTTTTGTTAGAAATTGATGTTTATTTGTGTTTGACAGTTTCCTTCTTTAAACGAGTTAATAAATAATTTAAAAATTAACATTCTCATTGAATACTCACCTGTATTGTAACTTCAACTGTTTTTTTTAAAATAACATTTTCTTGAATAGGAGAAAAATTGTTTTTTAATGACTTATTTAAATGTGAACTGTTATGGAAAAAAACAAAAATGTTCTTCCTATGTTAAACACGCAGGTGCTAATAATTTTAATAATTTTAATCATTAAAATTCATCATCAAAGAGTGGCTATCAAAAGTCATTTTTAGTTAGGTTATATCAAACATTTTGTTTTTGATAACATATGAGAAATACTCTTGACTTATGGTTTCAGAATATTCTTATTATTCTTAGTACCTATATTATTTATTATTATTTTTAGGTACCTACTATAAAAAAATAATAAAATAAGTAAGCACATAATATTATTTTATAAAATAACCACTTAATATAATTTTATTGTATTAATTTTATAATTATATTTTTGTAGTTCTTACATTTATTAAATATTAACATTATGAAAATGTTATTTGAGTATTTATTGCTAGAGTAGGTATAGGTTTTAATGCTCTAAAAATTAAAATCTTATAGCATTTAAATTTATTAAAATTATTTAAAATCTTTATAATATTTTGAAGAAGTATGTATACAAATTCAGTAAATTGATTGTTATTTGAATCTGATAAATGATTATTATGCATTAATATCAGGAAATAATGCTACCTTTAAGATGAACATAATTCATAAGATATTATTTTATAATAAATTTATAAAAAATTTGAATATTATCATAAAATACTTGGTTCTAAGTTTAAGACATAGTATAATATGTTGTATATTTGTGTAATGTAATAAGATATATTTTTTTACTTAGTAAGTTTCATAATTTAGATTAGCAAGAGTAAAATACTAAATATTTAATAAAATTAACATTTGAATTCTTGAAATACCTGAATATTCTTATTTAATTAATATTCTTTAATATGATATTATTTATAAAATATTACATTAACATATGAAAAATTGTATTTATTTTTTAATATTTCAGTCTATGAAACATATATATAATTAATTATATATGCATTTTAGCCAACTTACTCAGTATCATAAACTTTTGCTATGCTTATATTTATTTGATTTATTACAGTTATTATTCTTATACGTGTAAAACATTCTTATGTATTTTTATTTTAATATAGTGAACTTATTAAATTAAGTTAAATTAAATCATTACTGATTTAAATTGTACGTAATTATTTATTTTTTTTGAATTACCTATCTATTGTCCAATGTTTTGCGTATACAACAACTTTTTTATATTTTTAGTTGTATAGGCAGTAGTAATTAAATTATACTTTCATAGCCACATAACATGTATGACATATATATTACCTAATAGGTATAGTATCTCAATTATTTAAAAATAATAAAGTAGGTATTATAATATTATTGGCATAAAATATATGTTATATTATCCCTAAAGAATTGAACCTCAACATTTATATATATTATATATATATAAAAATGTATAAATTGTTATATTCAAGTGAATCTAGTTGGGGTCAAAAAAAAAAAAAATTAGTTCTTTTCTTAATAATTACAAAAAAAATCTAAGAAAAGTAACGACATATACTTGAAATTTTTACAAAATATTTACATTAGCATTTTCTATAAGTATATAGAATAATTTTAAAATGTTTTGATTTAAAAAAAAAAAAAAAACTATTCGACATTTTTTTTAGTTTTTTGTCTATAAAAATGTTTGCTGTAAAAAAACTTGAAAATGTAATACATTATACAAGGTTCTTCATAAGTTGCTGATAGGTATATATATGTAGAATATTGAAGATGCATAGGCACAAATTTTCTTTTAAGCATTTTAAATTAAAAATTTATCGATATGGGATACTTATAAACTTTGAACAAAAAATAATGAATTTAATTACTTTGTTACAAATTTTGAAACTACTTATTATTTTATTTTATTCACTAAATACAATCCACTTTTAAATTCATTTTAAGATATTTATTTGACGAGATTATTTATTCCATGATATAGTTTATTATCCTGATAATTCATATATTACAGTTAGTGTAATGTATCAATAAAATATTATTTAGATGTAATAATAATAATTGTCTAAATTATATTATTGAGATTTATTCTTGGTAAAATTAGTTCAATATCTTATTAGTTATTAGTAACTACTATTAGCAGTAAAAGAAGTATAAATATAAAATAAAATTTTCTTAGAAATATAGACTTATATATCGCCCAGTGTCACACTATGCTCCTAAAATAATTTAATATAAAATAAATAAGTACCTACTAAATATTATATTCAAAACAAATGTCACTTTTTTCTAAAAAAGTTAGGTTTTTAATAAGTATTTAATAAGTATTTTAGCACTAAATTATATTAAAAGTAGAAATAGTCAATTTAAATAACTTTATCAACATTTTTTTAACACATTTTATAATATAAATTTATAATTAGGTATTTAAAATGTGCTACTTCTCGAATACTTATTAAATATTTCGTTAAATTGCCTATATTAAACCCCTAAAAATGGACAGGTAAATTTCCTGTTGATATCCTGATAATATTCTTGATAATCATAAAATCATTAAAACGTCTTTTTAATATTCCAAAGAAAATTTTGATAATATTAACTATTAAGTGAGTAAGAAATTAAACAGCCAGTGGCACTTTCCAAATTAAAGTGTAATTTCTATAATACATATTATAGGAACATAAATTATCACATGTATCTATACATATCTGTTTTAAGTACCAAATTAATGGGTTCAGTTGCAGTAGGTGATAATGATGTGTTGACTTCATTTCATTACTATAAATGATAACCCAATTCTATAAATACTATTTATGTGAATTTACGTCTGTTTTAAAATAATTTCATATATTATTGATCTATAATTTATCATTTAATCTATACTTATTTTTAAAATATTTTCTTAAAAATTAAAATTAGACACAAAATAAACAAAATCACTTAAACTTTATATAATTCTTAGTAAAGAAAACACACATGAACGCATGGCTTACATTTTTATTTACTGCAGTTAAGGTATATTATGTTTTTACGGAATAGAATTCTCGTGATATCATTATAATTATTAGTTGGAAGTCATAACACGAGTATAGTAATAATACTAACAAGTAAGCGGTTGATTCTTGATTCTGAGTAGGTACCCAATGTTTTACGTGTAATTATAATCATCGGTACTGACAGAATCGGGCATAATAATTTTTATGAAAACCTTGAAATGCGTAATAACATAATATTATTTCATATTATATTTGCATCTATCTGCTATCGTTTATCGTTCTATTCGGGAAGAAGTACTTCTACCAAGTATAAGCCTAATGACAGTATTATCTGGTACATAATAATGTGTACTTCTCGGAGTTCAAAAATAATGAGCAAAAAACAACAACATTGTTTTTGAAAAAATTTATGCCGGCTTGGTTGGATTGGGTTAGCGTCTTGGAGGAAAAACGAAATTAAAATAATGCAATGTATTATTATTATAGGTACATTGGTATTATAATATTATAAATTATAATAATACTACGTACTGACGACTCTCGCGCGCGGTTCCCACCAAGCTCGACCAACAGCAGTAGTAGCGCGCCAGTACGGTACGCCGCCGCCGCCGCCGCCGCCTCCTCCGCGGTTCAGCGGTTGTTCGCCCGACGGCCGACACTCGACAGTCGACAGTGGTATCGCGTCAGCCGCATCGTACTGACGTGACGACGGTCGTTTTACGGCAATAATCGCTGTTCGCGCGCTCGCGTCTCTACAGAAATAAAAACGAAATAATTTTACTATTATTATTGTCGTCGTCGCGGTCCGCCGTGAAAACTAACCGTGTTCAGTTTAAGTTCGCCAATTAAACACCTACCTGTAGGCATATATTCCGTGTGTGAATCCGTTCGTTTACCAAGCGCGACGAATTTTCGATAACTCCTTTGGTCGTTGGTCATGCGGTCTTAGACCGAGAAGAATTTTTTTTTCTCCTCCACACCGTTAACCTTTTGTTGGCCAATCGCTCCGCTCGCCGTTTTCCGCGCCGAAAGAGAATATACACGCACGGCCGCCATGCCGCTGTTCGGCAAAAAAGACGTGTCGAAGAAAACGAAGAAGGACGCAGAAAAGTCGCAGTCCATCGAAGACAAGTACGACGTCAAGGACCTGCTTGGCACGTGAGTACAAACCGTCTACTATATAATATAAAATGTGTATAAAATGCGTGTAGTGCCTACGCTTACTCGCTTGTTTGAGTGTAAGTCATTCGTATTGTAACAATACAATCTCATATGGAGCGCGCGTACGCGAAAACTGTAAGTGTCGTCGAATTGCGGTTGGTTTCGTCGAGTCCCCGTTTAGGGCGCGCAATTTATTATTTATTTATTTATTTTTTTTTTTTGTTTTGCTGACATAATTATATTAATAATATTATTAATGCCGTTCAACTGGTTCTTTCGTCTTATAATTATTAGTCTACGCAATGATACGATAAAAACTGGACTGTAGAGCATTGCCTCAGGTTCCATCCATATTGTTGTATTTTCTATTTCCTTTAACTTACCTCTACCTAGTTTTATCTGTGTCCTATTCTCCGAACAGATTTTCAAGCACTGGTACATCGACAGGATGTAAAATTATTTTATTATTAAATAGATAGGATTGTTTTCACCGTTAATGGAAAACCAAAAACGACTTCATCGATGTTAGTAGCCAGTAGGAACCATATCTGTACTTAATTATATGTATCTACCTTCACCCCGTTACTAGAAAATTATGTATTTCATTTTTGGGGTGGCCGTTATCCATAAAACATCATCATGACAACTTTAATAGGTCTTGATGATATTACTGGAAAACTTACGTTTCGGTTTCAAATAAATACAATAATATTATTAGGTAAAATTATGAATTATAGTTTTTGAATATTACGCGTTTTTTATACTTAGTAAGTATTAGTATACAGTGTAATGTATGTTCCAAAAGTTCCGTATCGTTTAATCATTTTTGTGGAAATCAGTATAGTTGTTATTTTAACCGCAATATTTTAAAAAAATTGTGTCATCTTTAAGTCTTAATTTTTTCACATAGGTTATTGTTGAAAAAATCTTTTTCAAATATAATAACACATTATTGATGTATCACGCGGTCTCACGAGGGTATTTGCGCTATGCAGTACTTTTGAGACATACTGTACAATGTATATTATAGTACTTTAGAAACGGCATATTATTATAAATAACTGCTATGCTATTACAAAAACTTATACAACGTTCGTGTCTTTGCGAGTAATGCCCGAAAATGCAATAATGAAAACTCGTACTTACGTACAGATAGACGGCCCTCAGACAAACGTCCTCGTTATAACCGTTTCGAATACCCAATACGTTTTCGATTTTTACTTGTTTTTGTTTATTTCTGTAAATACTTACTATAGAACTTCCTTCGAATATTTTCTACACGCGCTTACGCTTCGTTGACGTTTTATTATTTTTAATTATTAATTGACAACAATTATTATATTATGATATTATCTTTACTGGTACCGTGGTCTCTATGGGTGTCGCATAATATTACGGGCAAATGGATAATTCCTTACTGGCTATTATTGGTGGAATAGGAAGCTCTGCCATCATATTTAAAAACAAAGGTTACCCTACTTGAATATGATGAAATTATTATCTTTGGTCGATTGATCATTATCTTTTTAAAACAATAAAAAGTAATGTAATAATAAAAAAAATTAAATAATAAGAAGGTTGTATTTAAAATAAACTAAGTAAAACTATTTTTTTAGATATATAATAAACATTGTAAATAAAATAATTAATAATAATTAATAAAGACTGGTTAGATGCTCCTATTTATATAAAAATAGTAAATACTATGTTTTGTTAAAAGATTTTGATTTGTAATTTTTTGGCTATCCTTAAATATATATTTCTAAGTTTTAATATATGTTATCATTATTATATTACTAGGGGGGGGGAGGGGAATGTGCTACATTCAATATTATGATGTATTTTATTCGTGTCAATTTCGGGAGGGGCTGGTGAACGTCACGTACTGCACGAATATCGAATAATTATTAATCATAACACGTGAGACAAATAATTCGCGATGTGTTTTTTCTCTTCTTCTCCAGCTGTGACGACATATTATTATTATTCGTTAGCGGTGCGCGTCGATAATAAAACACGTCCACGCTGCGGCTGACACGATAGTGACGTATAGTAATATTTTATCATTTCTAGACGTACACATCTTTTATGTTGCGGTGCGTATAGGCAGTAAAAAAACTAATAGCGTGGCAAAAAACGTGTAGAGAAATAAATAGATGAATAAAAATCCGGCATACAGACGCGAATACAATTTTTGTAACGGTTGCTGTACCACAATGGTTAAAACTACCTCTACCTTGTTTACCTACAACCGATTGATGTGTACCCGTAGACATTTTCATCCTTCGCGATATGATGGCGACGGCAGTAGTGACACCTGATGGATTTTCAAAAGCTGATTTCCCGGTCTTAGTCGCAGGTTTTGCGTGCGTGTCGGTACAGAGCTGCCACCGCTTCCGTCTCTTGGCATTTTATTCGTGCACTGTTGTAGACAAACGGCCTTAAAACACGATAATAAATAATGATAATAATAGTAATATAATGTCGTCGTTGAGTTACATATTATATTTATATACGTGTTTTTTCTCATAAACATATTGTTGTTGTTTTTGTTATTGTTGTTGCCTAGTATATTTGATTGGTTCGTACAACACTAGTGTTATACATGTCGTCGGTCCAAATAGATTTCGCTGCATTTAACACTCGACAGTACAACGATAATAATGTATTATCGCACGTCAACAATAAATACTACCTACTGCTACAGCTAATAATAATATTTATTTTACTGTTATTGCGCTCGTTCGAAGAGGTGGTTGCTCTCTATCGTTCATTCCGCTTCCGTAGTCTGTATTCTGTAGTAAAACAAACTGGCAAGACTTAAATCAAAATTTATTTTAATCATTTTGTAGCCGCCTGGTTAAGGATAGAAAAAGTACTCTAAGATTTCGATTTGTATATTTTTATCTATATGGATTATCAAAGACTGAGCGGGTGTTAATCGTTTTTTAAATTTCAATGTGTAGTTTTCCTTGTAGGATTTTGATCGTCTATTAAAGTACCTATCTGTGAAATATAAATAGTCACGTCGACCGATCTTGTAGCAATCCGTATTTCCGTCGTAGGTATTCGTTTAAGTAAATACTAATAGACGCCCATTACATACCACGTACTTTCTGTCTAGAAATTTGAAATTTTTTTCAAATTGACTAATTAAGAAACATATTATCGTTTCATGGATAACAACAATGTATTATATGGTTTATTAAAAAAACTCGTTTTATAAATTATAAGAATGTTTGATGTTTCAATTTTCAATTACCTGTACGTTGAAATTATCAATTTTATGACGGTATTAATTCGATACTTTTTGGCATCGTTGTGCGTGCCACTCCTGGCCTGGAAGGTCTGCAGTACACGCCTGCAATGTGTATAGTGTATACTGTATAGGTAATACAAGACCGTGTCCTTGTGTCGCTTTTAATTTTTTCTGCCACTACCGCCACTCCTGTCGAACCGTCGCCGCAATATTATATCATAACATTCATAACAACGGCCGTACCCATTACAAAACGTATTTCACCAACAGCTACTTATATTTACGTATTATAGACAACGTTTTATATAAAAAAAGAATTATACGATTTCGACAATGTCGTTTTTCTATTATTATTATTATTAACATTAAATATTTGTTCTCGCCATCCCGACCGACCGCAGGCGATCGTTTATCGTCCATAAAGTATTATAAAAACAATAATTATCATCTACATTTTTCTTTTTGTTTTTCTTTCACTTTTTACGACATAAATAAAATAAACTGCCGCCTCCGTTGCCTGCAACTATTTGATCCATTTGCCTTAGTTTAACACTAACGAAAATTATGTTACACTACGTCGATATCGTTTAGCTTGCGACAACGCCGCACCCTATCATGCCACAAGTAATATGTTACATTATTATTATTGCGTATAAAATAATAATTTGTAGTATGTTATTTTTAATGGCAACGATGACAACAATAGTAATATTTTCATGACTTTTTTTTTAAAACTACGGATTTTTTTTTATTGTTATAATCAAACAAGGTTTGTTTTGTTAAATACTAATAAGATACTTTCGAACTGCGTCTAATTTCAAGCGCGTGTTAGTCTGTACTACTGTTCGTTTTGCGTACTCGTCTTCAAATATTGACACGTATTTACTTAATCGTTGGTATCCACCTAAGACCACATTAAAAATGCATTCATTTTTCATCATTTTTCATCATTTTTCATCATTAAAATATTATTACTTATGTGTACGTTTAGTTAATTTACTATCATAAATATCTTTACAGTATACAGCTATAGCTTATAATGCATTATAAATATTATTTAAGTATTTAATAAATACATAAAAATTCAATTAAAAGTTTAAAACCTAAGTATTGTGTAATTATTTTTTTTTTTCAAAATGTTTATCAAATTTCAATTACCTATGTACTTTGTAATAATTTCTATAAATGTCCAACGTGCTTTGATTATATTATAGTTAGTTTTAAAAATAGATAAATATATTTTAATAAATTAATATTATATTGCTCACATATCGACCACATTACAATAAATCCGCATTGTTTTTGCAGTGTTATTTCACAATACTCTTTTGAAATAATCAACCGGAGTGTACAGCTTATCGCTAATTCTACCGAAATCAATGTTTAATTTATATTATTATTATTAGTATAATATATTAAAATAATATTATCTAACAACGTGTAGCTGTGTTTCAAACATAAGATTTATTTTAAAATAATATTCATATTCGTACCTATTTTATTAACTCTATGCTATTATAATTACAGTAGGTTTATTGTTTTTATATATTTATTTATTTTATTGATCTTAAAATATATCGAAAATTTGGCCATTAGTAATATTGTTTTAAGTTGATATTATTATTATTGTTATTAATTATTTATAAATATTATTGTATTTCGATAAAACTACTGTGATTGTTGAAATAAGCCTAAAATGAAATCTATTTTGATACTTACCTAAAAAAGTAATATTGTT